ACCCCACACATCAGCATCACCTTCTTCCTCCTCTCTCTTTGACATTTCAACAAACACCTTACCAGCAGTAGAGCAGCGCACCGGCGGTAGTCCGGGATGCCGAATCGCCGATGAAGTCTATCACCACCTTCGCAGCAGAGATCCAGCAGGATGCCGTGGACGCCGCCGGCAAGCCGGATGGCGGCGTGCCCCGGCCGTCTCGGGTCCGCCATCTTGCTCTTCTCACCGCCACCTTATGCGCACCGATCTTCTACACGCACTACGGCGTACCAGGCAGCATGGGTGGAGTTGGCCAAGCACCTACTCCGCCATGGCCACAACACCGTCCTCGCCGTCGTCGACCCACCGGACGGCGACGCCGCCTCGGCCGCCGCCGTGGCCCGACTCGCCGCGGCTAACCCTTCCATCGCCTTCCGCCTCCTCCCGGTCCCTCCCAGCTCGGACCCCGCCGCGCACCCGGTCAGGCGCGCCCATGACACGCTCCGCCTCGCCAACCCCGCGCTTCGGGCCTTCCTGCGCAAGCTGCCGGCCCCCGCCGACGCGCTCCTGCTCGACATGTTCTGCGTCGACGCGCTCGACGTCGCCACCGAGCTCGCCCTCCCCGCCTACTTCTTCTTTGCCTCCGCCGCCAGCGACCTCGCCGTCTTCCTCAACTTGCCGTACCTCTACCCCCGGCCTGCCGTCCTTCAGGGACATGCGCGACGCGCTCGTGCGTTGCCCCGGCGTGCCGCCGATCCGCGCGGTGGACATGCTGGTCACGGTGCAGGACAAGGAGAGCGACCTCACCAAGGTCTGGCTGCACCAGTTCAAGCGCATCGCGGAGGGGAGGGGCGTGCTGGTCAACAGCTTCGACTGGCTGGAGCCCACGGCCCTGAAAGCGCTCGCCGACGGCGTCTGCGTGCCCGACCGACCGACGCCGAGGGTCTACTGCATCGGGCCATTGGTGAACGGCGGCGACGCGGGCGCAGGCGGCGAGAAGCGGCACGAGTGCCTCGCGTGACTCGACGCGCAGCCGGAGAAGAGCGTTGTGTTCCTCTGTTTCGGCAGCAAGGGCGCCTTCTCGGCGGCGCAGCTGAAGGAGATCACTCGCGGGCTAGAGAGCTCCGGGCACCGGTTCCTGTGGGCGGTGAGGAGCCCGCCGGAGGAACAGAGGGAGTTCCCCGAGCCGGACCTCGAGCGGCTGCTCCCGGCTGACTTCTTGGAGAAGACGAGAGGCAGGGGCATGGTGGAGGAAGAAGGTGATGCTGACGTGTCGGGTCCACCTGCTAACGGTCAACTTAACGGTAAAAAATAAGCGAAGTTGACTTTCCCGCCACGTCGGCCCTGACAGACGGGCCCCGCATGTCATAAACATATTTAAATCTTCTAAACTGGTTATTTTTTGAAAGTGGTAGTTTTTAGTCACGAGATTCCAATTTTTTTGGTAGTTATCAATCACTTTTTTAAAAGTGATAGTTCTGTGGGACGCGAACCTTAATTTTGGTTTTTTTTTTTTTTGTCAAACACTCCCCACACATGCATTCCTAAATCCCCACATATGAGCATCGGCAATGTAGAATGCCACATCACATGTTGAAATGCATACTCCGTTAATGCGACAACCATCAAAATGTAACCGCCCATTCTTGAGGCTACCACCATGGGACATACCATTTTTGTTATTGCAATATGGAACCCAGGTCTGAGCCAATGGCAGCTTGTGTCCTTCACAAATAATTGTGAGAATTTGCAATATATCAACCAGAGCAGGCCGTGATTTAGTATCTTGAAAGGTGAAAGGACAACAACAGTTATTAATTAGAATAACAATACGTCAGCTTGATGTTTTTTAAGGTAATAAAATATTCCTTCTGAAAACTTTGGAACACCAGTACACTTCCTAGACTATTTTCTTGATGTAAAACCAAAAATAGCCCACACTAACACTTCCATAGCATAAATGGTTTGATCCAAGCTTATTCACATTGAACCTCAAAACCAGTTTATCAAATATGCAATGTACAAGAGGGACATAAACTACATTGTAGATTGCCAAGCAATTAAATTGTTATTCTGACCCATTGTCAAAGAAAATTGTACTCTGACCGAACATTTGCGTGAAGAACCTAGCCTCAAGTCCTGTACACATCAGATCAGTCTCACTCCCAATTCATCTTATTTGCGATAATTATAAGTTCAAGAGCAGCAACATATGACTTTGATGTGGATCAAACACAGGTAACTGAGGCAAAAGGCAACGGTGATTTTAGAGAGCACATCTCTGTTAAACTTTCTCGAAATGGACATCACTGTTAATCTTTCTCGGAGATGGGCCAACTTTATGATGAACATTTAGCCATCTATAATACCTAAATAGTTCATCCCCACTATGCTATTTCTCTAGACATGCAGCCTATCCACCTCAGCAAACTACCACATCAGCGATTATTTTCCATTTTAACCATTTTTTATTGACATTTTTATATGCCGCTTCGTTGCTCCGTTTTCCAGACTTAAAGTGCATACCGAAGCCCAATGGTCTCCAAACGCAAACATAAGAAAGAAGCCCAACTGTCTATCCCCACGCCCACGGCATACCCTTCGTTTCCACCTCCCGGCCGTAATGTCAAAACAAAAAACGCAGCAGTCGCACCCGCTGCCGCCCGTGATGGCGGAGGGGGCGGCGGCCTGCCCGGGCCGGCAGAGGCGCCGCGGCCGTACGAGCTGGTGTTCGCGGCGGCGGAGCTCCGCTCCATGGACTGCAACCTCTCGGCGCTTTGCGACAACGTCCAGGCAGAGGGATTCGGCTCCGGCGGCTTCTCCAATGTCGTTGTCAAGGCCATGGGGGTCACCTACCGTCTTCACCGTCTCCTCATCTCCCGCAGCACCTATTTCAGATGGGCTTCCTTCTCGAATACAGATGCGGCGACCGAGTATTTAGGATTCCATATACTGTCAATGCATCAGTACGTCTATTGGGCTGCGCCGTGTGGATGTTTCAGTACGTCTCATCCCCTCCCTTCAGCAAGCAGCACACTGTACATGAGGAGATTGACCCCAAAGTCCTAAGTTGGCTATGGTTATCCCATCCTCAAATCCCCAAAAGTATGCAGTTTCCATTTTCCTTTGTCATGTGCATGTCAACAAAAAAGAGATTAGTGTTAGATTCTCATGTATCAGATTCAGTTGTTTGCCTTGAAGTTGTTTATATTTATCAGGAGGAAGAGGTCAGTCTTTCCCATCCAAACTTAATTGAGTACAATTTCGAATTTTAATCTTCCCAAGCCTGCACAGTGAATGATAATGGTTTTTGTGATACATGAGCCAGTACCATCGCTCATCTTGATCTGCTATTTGGATGACAACACTTTGGTGGAATTGTACTTCTCTCCATGTTGTTTGCAGGCAAGCCAATGTTACAGATCCAGCCAGGATAACTTGACTTCGGTGGACATGTACTTCTCTCCGTGTTGTTTGATCTAGCCAAATTAAATTAACATGTTTATTCTCCTCATATTCCCTATCTAATGGCTGGTTGTACGTGGGATGTGGCTTGGGAAAAATATTATTTTCGTAATTGTTCAACCGTTTATTCTCCTCATATTCCCTATCTAATGGCTGGTTGTACGTGGGATGTGGCTTGGGAAAAATATTATTTTCGTAATTGTTCAACCATTTGAATGTTTATGGCACATGTAATTGTTTGTACACAAGTATCAACTGCAGATAGTGTTGATGAAAGTCTGAGGTATGTTCTCCACATTAAAAAATATAGATAAGTTCAATTGAGCTATCTGGATTGATGTCTTTCTTATATTTACAATATGTATATCATTGTATCATGACCCGTGTAGCTGTATGCCCATGAAATATTTGGTAATAACAGTATTGAGCATCCCTAAGTGATCTTAGATATGCCTTTGCAGGTTGTGCTTTACGATATACCAAGTGAGGGATTTGACAAGAACTGGTATTTTCCAATCGGAGAGGTTTCTTCATCATTTTGTGGGAAGTACAACATTTAACATGTGTTTGTCTTAGTTATGTTTCCAACCAGTGTATCATCGAGTAATTTCTATTCCAAAAGTGTCGTAGTTTTCCCTTGAAAAAAGAACAATTCTACTTAATCGACAATAGTGGTCATAGGCTAGCATTCAAAGATGTGCTTCCCTTTTAGCTTTTGCCAAATATCTTCAGAATTGTACCGTCACTCACCTGAATAATCTTTTGATCTCCATAGATGCTATGTTTGTCACCATATTTAATCCCAGTCTACTACTCCCTCCTTCCCAAAATAAGTGACTCAACTTGTATAGCCATTCATTGGCCCATGCTTTGCTGATTGATTCAGATCAAGTCCATTGTTTGCTTGAATTTGTACTGTGAGAAGTTTCGAAAGAAGACAAGTTCTTCTTAACCCATTTCAGTTGAAAGTCAACTCCCATAATTTAGAGGGAAAAGGAATAAGTCTTCATCAGTATCGACTATCGAGGCACCGTTCCATACGTCAATCCTCTGATACACTATTGTAGTGCAATTTAGATATATCAAATCATGTTGACACTCAAGAATTGTTAATACAATAAGATCGAAAATTGATATCTATACTCTGGCCGTGCATCCATTAAGACTCAGTCTATTACCAGTGAAGAACCTATTCTCTTTGCTATTAAATTGTAGACCTTGGAAATTTTAGTGCTGATTTGTGCTTCTATTTAGTTGCAATGCTACTTTTAATGACTACCAAGAGATCCCGCAGCAATGCGCGGGGTGTCATCTAGTTTACACAATGCAGCACCACAAAGTAATTTAGCTGATACTCTGTATAATCGATCGTGTACTTCCAAAAATGGTCTAGATAAGAGGTCATGACTAAACAGAGACACAACTTTCTCAATCAATCATGCTTACACGCCTACTCTGAGGCCTCAAGAACAGCATTAAGTCTCAGCTATCATCATCAGAATTACTACGTTCAGCAGCAGAAGAGAACTACAAGCTTTGTTTGCTAGCCACGACGATCACAGCCGAATCTCCCCTTCCTCTAAATCTTCTTGGAAGCTTTGACGCTGCGGCTGCTGCTGCTGCTTCAGGTCGTCGTCGTCGTCAGCCTTGTCCTTCAGGAAGAGTCCCATCTGTCGCAACAAGTTGTTCGACCTCGCCGTGTTGTACTGATCGATGCCGAGCACCTTCACGTCCTCGTCTAGGCTCTCGTTGAACATTGCCGTCCTCTCCATCTCGAGCACTTGCTGACGGGCCTTCTCCCTCGCCCGGGACGTCGCCTCCTTTCGCCGCCTTTCCAGAATCTCGCTGGCACGGGCGATGAGGTCGCGTGTTGGAGGCCTAGTGTTGGCAGCAAGCTCTGCCGGAGCTGGACTGTCGATGCTCTGGTGAGAAGAACCAGAAACCAAACCGTTGCTGCCGCTGATGGTTGCATCTTCGCCAAGATTCTTCAGAGGTGAGGCCTCGCTGCAGATGTCTACAAGCTGCACTGGTGTCGGCCTGATCGGCAAAGGGGAGACGCCGCCGACGATGTCAACGTCTTCGTCCTCCTCCTCGGCCATCATGTTCTTGTGCTGATGCGTGGACGGATTCGCCCTCTCTCGAACGAACTTGTCCAGCTGCTTCTGCATCTCCACAAGGGCCTCGTCTTGGACGGCGTTCATCTCGATCTCGATGTAATCGTCGCAGATGCCGCGGCGGCTCTGCTTCTTCAACAGCTCCAGGATATGAGCAGGGAGCACATGAGATTCAGAGAGCTTGGCTAGCTTGGTGAGGTCCGCGTAGAGTTGGCTCCGCTCCTCGGACGTCATCTTCCTCACGGGAACGGCATGGGACGCCTTCCTCTTCTTGGCTGGCGGCTCCTCGGCTGGACGACTGTCCTTGACGCGCACGCGGGGAGCTGACGGGGCCGAGGCTGGAAGCACGGCGGCCGCCTCGGCGAGGAGGCGACGGGCCGCGACGAGCTCTGCTTGGAACCGCTGGCGAAGGGTCTCCAGCGGGCGCTTCCGGCCGGACATGACGCAGAAGGGCTCCCGGTTCCGGTGGGCAACCTCCATGGGAACAGCGGACGGCGGTCGCTGTGGTAAGGTCCGGAAGAGGCGATTGGAAGCGCGCGGTGGAGGAGAGGAGACGATGGGGAAGATTGGATGGGCGCTGTAGATGGGATCGAAGGCCTTTTAACTAGTGAAGTGATCCGTGATGTGATCGAAGCCGTGTTCTGCTGTGATCCGGGAAGAAATCGGAATGCAGTCCGAGTCAGTTCAGTACAAGCTTTGGATTTGGTACGCTTGCATCTCAAGCTTAGCTTGATTCATCACGACCATGGCTTCATTTTTCCCAGTTCGTCCTGCACCTTTCAGGATGAGATTCCTTTCAGGATGCGGAACCGACTACTCTACTGCTGATCACCGCTGTCTCTCTGACGAACCGTTTTGTGAAGTCAACTCGTTCGGCGTCTTTACAATGCTTTCTAAAAAAACAATTCACTACAATTCATTTAATTCTACAAATCATATGGAGGAAATTCTTTACAATGCTATTAAAAAAACTATTAACTACCCGCACAAAAAAATATTATTCACTACAATTCATTTAATTTTACAATCATATGGCTGCAGAGTTGGGCCATCACATACACAGACTAAATGTTGTGACCATCTAGTTGAATTACTACTGTACATCAAAAGGAGGAAATTCCATACCGTCAGCGATCAAGGATTGACTAGCTTTCTGTGGGTGACAATAATACTAATTCTTTCCAGCAGTGTGCAAGTATGAGAAGGCGAAAAAAAAAAACAATTATCCCGGGCTAAATGGGACTAACAGAAAATGTAGCCGAGATGGAAGAGATGACAATGGAGTTCTAGAAGAAACTTTTCAGATCTGATGGTACCTCATGTATGGTCGGCGCTGGAGAAACATTGTGTCTGTCATCCTGAGTTCTGCTTCCTCAAGAATTTTGTTAAATGGCACCCCTGGTCCGCCCTTCAGGCATATGTGTGGTCTTAGACAGGGCGACCCCTTGTCCCCGATGTTGTTCATTCTCGCCATGGAGCCGCTTCGGAAACTGTTGGATCTTGCAACGGAAGGCGGTGTTCTAACTAAGCTGGGACCTAAGGCAGCCAGATTTCGCACAAGTATGTACGCTGATGATGCGGCCCTGTTTTTAAACCCTATCAAGGACGAGGTGCATGCAGTCAGAGCAATATTGGATAGGTTTGGGGAGGCCTCTGGTCTAAAAATCAACATCCAGAAATGTGTTGCATATCCAGTTAGGTGCGAGGGGCTTGACTTCCAGGATATTATCCAAGATTTTGGTGGGACGGCAGGCTCTCTCCCGTGTCGTTACCTTGGACTGCCGCTCAGCTATCGCAAGCTTAGAAGAATTGAGGTCCTCCCTCTCATAGATGGCATGGCCGGAAGGCTTAAAGGATGGAAAGGCAAACTGATGGCCAAACCTGGAAGGCTCACTCTAATAAATTATGTGCTTACATCCATGGCCACATATTTCTTAACCAGTTTTGCAGTTGACAAATGGGCAATAAAGAAAATGGAAAAGATTCAGCGAAACTTCCTTTGGAATGGTGACGAGGAGTGCAAAGGGGCCAAGTGCCTTGTCAACTGGAAGAGGGTCTGCTCCCCAAAGGATCTTGGTGGCCTTGGAATCAAAGACATTGCCTGCTTCAGTAGGGCATTGCGGCTGCGTTGGGCTTGGCTAGAGTGGAGCCCCAATTCAAGGCCTTGGCAGGGCACCCCCATCCCATGCGATCGCACGGACATGCTGCTTTTCTCAGCTTGCACGGAGATTTCGTTGGGGAATGGGCAACGGGCAAGTTTCTGGAATGATCGATGGCTGTTGGGAATGGCTCCTGTGGATGTGGCCCCCGGTTTGTTCGGTTTGGCACGACGGAAAAGGCTCTCTGTGAAGGAAGCTCTTGCTGGTAATCGCTGGATGAAGGGCCTGGAAAGAATTGCTTCCGAGGAGCTGCTGGATCAACTTGTCAAGTTATGGGAGCTGCTGCAACCCATTGTCCTTTCTGATGTTCCTGATACCATCCGGTGGAAGATCACTAATGATGGAGGCTACTCCGCTGCGTCTGCTTACAATGCTCAGTTTATTGGTCGCATCGCTGAGCCACAGTTGCATGCTTCATTGAGGATCAAGGCCGAGCCGAAGGTAAAGTTCCATCTGTGGCTCCTGATTCAGAATAGGAACTGGACGGCTGATCGGCTTGCGACAAGGGGATGGCCACACAATGACAAATGCATGTTCTGTGATCAAGTTCTGGAAACAGCTGCCCATCTGACGCTCACTTGTCCATTTGCCCGGGAGGTCTGGTTTTCCTTCCAGCAAAGTGATCCAGAGGCTGCACTTGTTGGTTCAACAGCAATGACAATCAAGGGATGGTGGAGACGGATCTGGAATCTGCACAACAACCCAACTTCTTGCACGCAGATCACATCGGCTGCTTACGTTGCTTGGAATCTTTGGAAAGAGAGGAATAGGCGGACGTTTGAAGGAAAGAGATGCTCTCCCGAAACAGTTGCTGCTATGGCCAGAGACGACATTGTACTGTTCAAGGAAGCTACTGCGTAGTTTCTTTCTTTTTCTAGTTTTTGGGTTCTGTATGTGTGCGTGGGTACTTGAGGCTCTGTACAACACCTGGGAACTTTGGTTCCTTTTCCCTCTTCTAATATGAATAGGCAGAACTACTGCCATTGCCTTCCAATCAAATTCTGTTCCAATAATAATAACTGAGCAAATGAACACGGGTTGTTTGTACTGCAGATGAAACTAAAACATCACTGTTTCAGATGTTCCTAATAAAAGCACCTGACCCAAATGGGTACCCTGCTAATTTCTTTGGTCGTCTTTCAATGTTCTGGCTAAAGTGGGACAGGCTGCTTACAAGTTGGAATTACCTAAAGGGAGTCAAGTTCATCTGGTGTTCCCACGTTTCTCAGCTAAAGGTGCATGTTTCAGATCATACGCCGGTTTTCTCAGTATTTCCCAAACCATTGGACCTGTCTCTGCCAGGAGTGCTAACTGAAGAAATACTTGACAGATGTCTGGTAAAGAAAGGTAATGCATCTTATTTGCAGGTGCTGATCAAGTGGTCTCCGTTGCTCAAGGATGCAGCTACACGGGCAGATTATGAAGTGCTCAAGAAGCATTTTCCATCGGCACCAGCCTGGGTCCAGCTGGTTATCAAGGAGAGGGCAATAGAATGTAGCTACTAATGCTAGGTGTTAAGTAGTCAGGGAAGCACATTCAGAAGAAGAAGAAGATCGATAAGTTGCGGGAGGTTCAAATGTAAACTGGTGGGCTGAGTGTGTGCGTGGATCGTGGGCCTCGTGTGTGTCTCTGTACGACCAGGTTATAAGCTCAGGACCGCATTTGTCTCAAAAAAAAAAAAACTCAGGACCGCGTCAAACAAACGTTTTCATCTATATCTATACTACTTATAAAAGAGCAAACATTATCTTTTTTAAGTGCACCCCACAAAATGTACATGGATACATTATCACCGCATGATTAGTCCCACTAAACTCAATCAAACGGCTAGCCTTAATCTAATTTGTTCTCTGTGTGCATTTAGCAATTTACATTGACTGACCGTACTCCACCGCGGAGCAAAATATGAAAGTCCATGTCCGGTCAATTAGGAAACTATAATCACGGACACTCCTATTAAGAAACTAATCACGATCAATCACAAACGCATCTTATTATTAAGAAACTAATCACGGACGCATCCTATTATTAGAAAAATAATCACGCGTGCATCCTATTAGGAAATTAATCGTGGACGCATCTAATTATTAGGAAACTAATCACGGATGAATCCTATTAGATAACTAATCATGAACGCATCTAATTATTAGAAAACTAATCGCAAGTGCATCCTATCGTCTCGGAAATCGCGATCGCGAGTCGCCTGTCGTCACCAGCCCACCACCCACGCGAGCCACAGTGGGAGACATGCGAGGAGTAGCCGCGGCTTCCTCCGAACACACACGTGACGTCGCCGCTTTCGTCTTCTGCCTGGAGGCCAGGTCACTTTTCTACTTACTGCAACGACTTCGTCCACGTCCTGGCATGCTCTCCGGGAACCACCGGCATCCGCGTCTACTTCAGCTCCGTCCACAATACGCACGCTGACAACCACCCACCGCCGACGCCCTTCAAGTGGGGGCAACGCTGAGTATTCTGGACCAGTATAAGCGGGCCAAAAAAATCAAGTGGGGGCGCCCCGGTGCATGGAGGGCGCCGCCTCAAAGCTGGACGACTGATTCACCTGCATCGACAACGCCACCCAGCTGGTCCGAGGACACGGTCGCCGCGGCCGCTCGTAGGCCTGAACGACGGAGACGCTCGCCTTCACGCGAACGCGCCGCACGCACGCACTAATCAAGTAAGCACCGAGTGTTGTTTTTTTACTGTCATCGCTACCTCGCCGGTGGTGACAAATCTAGAACTATAGGAACTAGAGATGAGGCAATGAGAAACAGAGGCGCGCTGGAACACACACAGTTGGGTTTCAGGCAACCAATGCCTTCTTTCTTTCTTTATTTTTTCACTGATTTTCGCGTACCTACAACAGACATCCCTGTTTTTTAAGTACTGACTACCGGTTATTACATGGCCAACTCACGACTATATAGTGAACTCACAGACAAATTCGCTGAACCAAGACTTTACTTGCAGTCATGAAATTACATGGAAAAAAACCCAGAAGTTTGCATAAGTTTTAGTGAAAAATAAATAAAGTTCGCATAAGTTTTACTAAAAAAAACCTGAAGTTTGCATAAGTGTATTTGTTTGTTCAACAGATACATGGCAATTGTAATTTTACATGAGCATTTTCATACCGTCCTTATCTACAGTTGAGTTAACATGCTTTCTGATAGAAAACTTGGACCACATATAAGAAAAGCAAAAAATGCATGTTGATTATGATGATGACGAATATAGGATATTTTGTGGTCATGGAAAATTCTCATATCATTCATTTTATTTCATTATTGCACTCTGCATTACATACTACGCAAGACC